CCATTTCCGTCTTTCCTTTTCTCCTCTCCTCTCCTTTCCTCTCCTCTCCTCTCCTCTCCTCTCTTCTTCTTACCTTTCCTGTCAAGTCCTCTCTTCTCTCCTCTCCTCTCTTCTTCTTATCTTTCCTGTCCCATCCTCTCTTCTCCTCTCCTCTCCTCTCCTCTCCTCTCTTCTTCTTACCTTTCCTGTCCCGTCCTCTCTTCTCCTCTCCTCTCCTCTCCTCTATTCTCCTCTCTTCTTCTTACCTTTCCTTTCCTGTCCTCTCCTCTTCTTTCCTTTCCTGTCCCATCCTTTCCTTTCATTTCCTTTTTGTTCCTCTCCTCTCCTCCCTTCCCTTCTCATCTCCTCTCCTCCCTTCCCCTCTCCTCCCCTCTCTTTCCCTTTCCCTCTCCTCTCCTCTCCTCCCTTCTCCTCTCTTCTCCTCTCCTCTCTTCTCCTCTCCTCTCCTCCCTTCCCCTCTCCTCCCCTCTCTTCCCTTTCCCTCTCCTCTCCTCTACTCCCTTCTCCTCTCTTCTCCTCTCCTCTCTTCTCCTCTCCTCTCCTCCCTTCCCCTCTCCTCCCCTCTCTTCCCCTCTCCTCTCTTCTCCTCTCCTCTCCTCTCTTCCCCTCTCCTCCCCTCTCTTCCCTTTCCTCCCCTCTCCTCTCCTCTCTTCTCCTCTCTTCTCCTCTCTTCTCCTCTCCTCCCTTCCCCTCTCCTCTCCTCCCTTCCCCTCTCTTCCCTTCCCCTCTCCTCCCTTCCCCTCTCCTCCCTTCTCCTCTCCTCCCTTCCCTTCCCTTCCCCTCTCCTCTCCTCTCCTCTCCTCTCCTCTCCTCTCCTCTCCTCTCCTCTCCTCTCCTCCTGCTCCTCTCCTCTCCTCTCCTCATCCTCCCTTCTCCTCTCTTCTCCTCTCTCCTCTCCTCTCCTCTCCTCCTCTCCTCTCCTCTCCTCTCTCCTCTCCTCTCCTCTCCTCTCCTCTCCTCTCTCCTCCCTTCCCCTCTCCTCTCCCCTCCTCTCTCCTGTGCTTACCTTTAACAGGCCGTAGTGAGTGTAGAGAGTAGATCTATTACAGCTTATCACTAAAGGACAGGCCTACGCGGAACGCCGGTGAAATATAGCTCCTGTCACCGCCGCGCTGAACACGACCCGTGCACAGGGCTCGAAGAGCTGTGAGCACAGGGGAGAGAAGGGAGGGTGGGGGGTACGGGGGCCAGTATCAGCCCCCTAATTCAAATTAATGGAAAGATTTTCAGGCTTGATGCTGAACGTTTGACAGTGATTTGGCACACAATTAACCTTCTCTCCCTCTCGCCTCTGCACTCTCATCCCCTCTTCGGTTTCATTTGCTGCCTTCTCTTTCCCACTCTCCCCCCCTTTTACCTGTCACGCTCCTTGACACAGTCTTATTGATTATGAACTAAATGGAGAAGATGATGTTTTATTAGATACCTGACACTCCCGACTGTTGTGGGCCAATTGAATTAGCTAGGAATCACTGACATCCACGTATCGTAACATGATGTGACTAAGCATCATTTGAGGCAAAGCATTCACAAGTTCATATCACCGTTCAGAGGACGTGTGAGGATCGTTCCCATGACAATATCAGCACCGATGATTGTTTGTAGCAGTTTTGTACCCATTAGTTAAGAACATTATTGTGACATGAGCATTATTTTGTAAGAAAAATGTGCTTTTGTCATGAATGTGTGACTTGCGAGCTTGCTCTATGCACTGCGACATCCGTCCAAGGAATGATAGATTTCCACTCACCGACCTGTTTAAAAGACCATCCGTCCTGCAGCCACCGCCTCTCAGCTAGACTTTACTCACAGCTTTTATAGGCCATTTCACCTTGGGTTCCAGGTCACGGAACCAAACCGCCTATAGCTCTCAAACAGGGGACAGGAACGGGAGTGGTAGAGAGGGAGAAAGGAGAGGTAATATATGAAACAGTGTTATTTGGATAGAGCGGTTAGTCCAATTCATGTTGTGTTGAACCAGAATTTTGGCTAGCCAAGAATGAATGTTTCACTTTGTATCAAACTGCTACCAAACCATAACATAACGAAATTAGCAAATGTAGGTAGTTTATGTAGTTTGACTCCAATGTTAGCAGTGTGGCTCACAAACTTGGAATAATGCAGGAACATTCCCAAGTTGGAATAAGGGGTGTTTTTCTTGTTTTTCCCTGTCTGCTGAAATGGCTGTGAATGCAGCATTAGTGCCGCATCTTTGGTTCAAACGAGTGTCAGTGTCATGACAGCAAGCAGACGACGTGTGAGGCTGTTCTTCCGCTAAGCTATGCTACATGCTACGATTGAAGCACTTTGCTAGCATGCTGATTTGTAGCATGTTATATTTTACACCATGTTCAGCCAGTCAATGTTAGCATGCGAATATTTAAAAATTAGCACCAAAAATAGAGTACAGTAAAGGCTGAGAAGGGCATTAGTCTAGCAGTAATTTGGTCTACAGTATAAAGCAAAGCATTTGGGAAAATGATTGTGCTTTATGGCAAGTCAGTGATCTACCAAAGAGTTGAGACACTTCAATCTTGACTTAAAGAGGCCCTAATATGCTTTATGTTTACCTTTCCTGTATTTTGTTATATAGGTTTCTGTAGATGTAAATCGATTGAACTTATTTGACATTACTATTAACACTCATGGTTATATTGTCTAGTGTTCCAACACATTGTGCGTGATTTGCTACGGGGTGGGACATCTCTGAGCGGTTGACGAATCACAACACCAATCAGAGCAGACTGGGTTTCATACAGAGGGTGACAAGAAGTGCTGCAGTACAGGCAGTATGAGAGGGAAACAAAGAAAATGGTCAACATTAAAGCATGTAAACATGTCACAGTATAGGCACAAAATACAAACATGAAGCTGAAAATGTGCATGATTTGTCCTCTTTAGGAGGTGGGCCATCATTGCCGTCATGACAGCAATCTTAAACATTCGAAACGATATGAAACCATCATGCAGAAAGTGATTAGTCCCCTTTGTCAGAAATGAGTGTCTTGTGTAGAGGAAAAGGAAAACAAGCATTAATACTGCTTTTAATAACTGTAGTAGCCTGGTTGAGTCATAATCTAAAAGATGAGAGGGATGAAAGGAAGGGAGTGTGTAGGCGTCTACATGTGTCCTTGTGTCAGCACAATGTTGCTGAGAGTTGATGATTATCCGACTTTTCTGAGTCCCTGCCTCAGCACATGTGACATGGACAAACTACAGCGGTGACACGTATGACAGTTATGTGACAGAAAGCGAGGCATTGTGGAAGGGCGTCAAAGAACTCGCTGATGTGACATTTATCATGTCTAAGAATAAGGTTCAGCAAACACCTTCAAAGAAAAGACTAAGAAGTACACGTGCCAGGTCAGCCCTCTCAATATTAACACGAAGGGTTTTATCTCTTAGGTGAACATTGAAAAGAATCACACGAGTTGTGGTTAGTTCAAGTCACCACATTCCACATTATCCTATATATCCAAAGTGCTACAAATTGTAATAAGTGTGTCAGGTACATGTCTAGCAATGGATGGGATTATACAGCTGTACCTGTGACAGCTACTTGATTTCAGCTTCTTGTAGTCCGTGGTTGCTCTGTTTAAAAAAAAAAAAAAAACCCAACCCATTCATCCTTATAATATTCTAGAGAATGTCTTATTTTAAATTTCAAAGGATTTCCTTGAGGCTTGGGAAAAGCCTCATGAGTTAGCATTGAAAGGTGGGCGGGTAATTTGTGTGGATAGCGAGCTTAAAACTGACATGAGACCATAAAAACATTTAGGTGCAAAAACAGAAATAGCCTAAAGCTTGACGGGCACTTTCATGAAGCCCACCAAGGATGTAAATCCAGAATGAAAAGTAGTGAGGTAAAGGCATACACAGATTTGTAAAACTGAAATTGCAGATAGTGCAACATAAACCAAACTGGATAGATACACATAATGCTTGAGGCTGTACTACAAGGACATCATCGAAACAGTCATATATTCAAAAATAAAATTGTGTTAGATCATCACAAAAAGCTCTCCAATAGATTATGTAAGAGCTTAAAATGCAAACAATAATCCCTATAGCTCAGCCTCCTCTCAGCACTCAGCTGACAGGCAACGTTTCTATTGTTCTAATGCAGCGTTTCCAGTAATGTCCAAGGTAGAGAGACGAGAAGATAACAAAATAAATAAACCTGTGTCAGGATTTCTATTGTATGGAGGTGGTGATCCTCATTATCCACACCACAAAAACAGCATACTTGCACGCACATCATGCATGCCAGAAGTTGTAGTTCGGAGAGTTCCCCTTTAGCACCAGTCCCCATGACTCACGACACATCCGTGTAAAGGGCTTAGCACAAGGTAGGAGGGGATAAGCAGCACCCCTGATGATCAAGCTGCCTTTGCTTTGAAGCAGACGTGAGCATGTGTGTTCACTCTCTCTTCCATCTCTCTTCCTCACTGGCTAGTGTGCGGGCGCACGCTGGTGTGTTCGTGCACCTCACGAGCGTCAGGACACATTAACAGTCGTGACGACTGTTAATGTGTCCTGATCAGCCCACTGAAAATGAAGCTAATCTGTTGCGAGGGAAATGGGGCAGGAATTAGCTCATTCAATCCACCACTGGTTTCCTTTTAGCATCTGAGGTATCCCGCCATTTATCTCCATGCATTTCCTAGCTGCATCCCAACTCACAACAACTAGTGGTTGTGTAGAGCGATGCCTGCTGTGTTTTCAGGTGACAAAGACCGACATTTATTGCAAGTAATGATTGATTTCATACTTGTCAAAAAGCCCTGATACACATGAATTGAAATTCCAGCCTGAACATTAGTTCTTAGTCTCAAGTTGAATCAACAGGAATTTCAATTCATCTCATTCAGTTTTCAGCTATGAATGATTTCACTGAAATTGAATGAACGGCAAGCCATGTATTAGGGCTACCTGCATCAAAGTCTTAGGCAGCAGACTGTTTAGTATGTTAAGTATAAATGTGTTTGTTCTTCTTGTAGACCATTGTTCGAGGGAACCGGCCCCCCAAAGATGCTTCCATCAACGGCCTGCTGGAGGATTTCGACAACATCTCAGTAACACGATCCAACTCCCTGCGTAAAGAGAGCCCACCGGGCCCCCACCAGGCTGGAGGCACCTCCAAACCCTCCGGCAGTGGTCACCCCAACGCCCCCGAGGAGAACGGATTCAACCATTACTACTCCCGCTACTCCTGTGACCTGGATACTTCCAGCAGGGACTTCTCTCTTGACCCCGGCAAGCCAAGCTTCTCTATAGATGGGGACTGGGCCGCTGGGAGGCACTATCGATTCACCAAGCAGAATGGTCACTCGTACCCCATACGCAGCCCCTTCTACCCGGACGCCATGCCCCAAAAATCAGACTATGGCAAGCTTCCCCCAGACTACCACACCTACTTGGAGAGTAAAGGGCGCTCAGCTGATGAGGTGGCCTCCACGGTGGGGAGTGGTGTGGGCTCCAGTGGGTACTATCGGGCGTCTGTGGGGGGCTCTTCTAGCCAGGACTACCGGGACACTTCAGTGGGCACGCCATCTCGTGCCTCACTACACAGCGAGCAGATCAATTACCCAGACAGTGAGTGGAGCTACGGCGGCCTAAGGGACGAATACGAGAAGCGGCCTAAGAGTTCCTATGTGGCGCAGACTAGCCCCACGCCTGCTATACGGCAGCGGTCTAGGTCAGGATCTGGGCTGCAGGAGCCAAATGTCCCCTATGCTGCCAGTGGGGCTTTCAAGAACCCTGCACAATCACATCCTTACAGCTCCTACACCTACCCCCGCCTTTCAGAGAGTCTCGCTAACTCACAGACCTTAACCAAGGTAACTACACCAACAACAAAGTATGCATTTGAGTAAGGAAATATACATTTCCCCATGAATAAATGTGTCAGGGCTTTGACAGTTTACTTTAAACAGCTGGTATGGTATAAGCTAAAACATGGTTACAGTGTCTGTCCTCCTGCACTCTCTTTCAAGTAGTCAGTCCTTTTCCTCGTTCTCTCTTCCTCTGTTTCTGGTTGTCTCTCATTTTTGCTCAATGATTGATGGTGGTAGCTCTACTCTTCAGGCTCTGCCACATACAGAATTATCGCCCTTCAGTAGTCACTGTCTCTGCACAAAGATCAATTAATGCTCCTGCTAATCATCGACCAGAAAGCTCTGAACTACAGAGAGTTTCAGGGACTCGACAAATAGAGGCACAAAGGAACATAGAGAACAAAGAAAGGACTCACATGGCAGGGGGAAAGTGAAAAGGAGTATGAGAAAGTTAAAAAAACGAAATCAAATAAAAATAATGATTGAAATCAAATAGAAAAAGCCTCAAACATTGAACAAAAAACAAGTTAATTATAAAACGTTATAAAATTATTTATTTTGGTAAAACTTTATAATCGAATAAGGTTTTAGGTAGTCACCATATCGTCTTTTCATGGTGTAATTAGCCCAAAAGAATACCAATGATAATATCATTATATCTAACAATTGGAGTTATGTATAATATTAGCTTGGTGGTCAAAAGAATGATAGTATGCAATTTAATATCTAGCAACTTAAGAAAGGTACATTCAGAACGATGAAATGTACATAGCTGTGTGTCGTCTGCATAGAAGTGATATGTTGTGTTTTCTTTAGTGATACAGAAAGTGTATTAACACTATTCTGTGTGAAGTTAATAAAGATAGACATGTGTTACTGTTCCATACATCGTGTAGGGGTTACTTCTAACCAAAATAAATTACCAAACTGACATGACATTTCTATTATGTCATGTTTCATAGCTTAGAACTTCCCATTGTGTATGATCACCTGCACTGTAAGTATATCTGCAGTGGGGGGGGGGCGTGCTGCAGCCTGTGATGTGCTCCAGTGGAGCCGTGGGACAGACTCAGATACCCAGGAGACCCCACACACACGAGTAAATAAACCTTCCACGCATTAGTGATTGTGTTATGAAACCATATGTGTTCTGTATAATTTACTCGTGATGATCGTTCATACCAATATTGTTTTCTGAACCTTGTTTGAAAAGACGTTAGGTAAGTTAAAAAGTAGTAAGAGGCCAACAGTAGAGGGGAACAGCAGGGGAAATGGTCACTGAGGTTTTATTTATGTAAGTTCTTTATATATTCTTTAAAAAAGCGTTCAGTGTTCCATCAGGCCTATTTTAGAGGTGTGTGTACCGCTATCACAACACCCCACCATTCCTCCTTCCCACATGGTGAGAGCAGTAGCTGAGAGGAAAACTGGGTTTGCTGATGTAGATCCCAGGGTGCCTTGATGAAAAACCATTTAACCTGCATGCTTCAGTAAATAGCCCCTCGTAGAAAAAAACAGCCACGGAGAATGCAAGAGTAGCAGGATTTGAAGTGATGAGGGGAAGGTCATTTTCCTTACATATGGTTTATTATTACCACTTTCGTAGTCGCCGTGCTCGAGGAAACACATTTTCTTTGCTGAATGTACCGTGTGTGAAGGGAATGTAAAGATTTAACAGGCTGCAGTCTCATGCTGTGAATGTTGATGCAAAAGAAGGCAGCACTGCTAAAGGATAAGAACTCCTCCAGACTATATTAGGTGTATTGTTAATATCTGATTGGTTGTTCTATTAAGTGTTTTGTCAAATCAAATTAAATATAAGCCACAGTAGAGAGTGGGCGGAAAAATCAATGCACCTTAATTTGCCTTATGATTTTGCAGCAGTGAGTGAACTAAGAAAAACAAGGAGTCATCTGACAGCTTAAGAATCACTATTCTTCCCAGCTCATGGACCTTGTAACAAACCCACCCCTCTCTCTCTCTCCTCTCTCATTCTCTGCCTTTTCTTCTCTTCCCCTCATTCAGCCCACTCACACCACTGAAGTAAATCCCTCTTTCTCCCTGCTGTTGTTGGGAGCCGGTGGGGATGTTACAGTAGACAGCACGGAGACTTGGCCACACACACACACACACACACACACACACACACACACACACACACACACACACACACACACACACACACACACACACACACACACACACACACACACACAACACACACACACACACACACACACACACACACACACACCCCCCCCCTTTATCTTCCTTCCTCTCTCTTTCCTCTCTCTCTGTGTTATGTGGCGGGCTCAGTGCCGCAGCTCTCGGTGACAAATTGATGTTGCGGCACTTTCCCTTTCTGCAGCCTTAGCATAAAACTGGCCGAACGATGTTCCACCGCGGAATTCAATTTCACAGTTGAGTTAGGTTGTTGATTACCCTGCCAAACTCAGATTAATGCGCGTTTAACCAACATGGATCAGGAGACCCCTGGCTGACAGCCAGCCAGCGGTGCCGGCCAACGACAGGGGGGCGCGGGCCTGGGCCGTCCCAGCAGCACCCCTCCCCCCTCCCTACACCTGCCTCAGAGTGATTGATTAAAAGAGTTCACACCATGTAATTATACACCATCCCAACACATCAGGACTCCTCCTCCTGCCCTGTCTCTGCACATGTGTGTGTCAGTGTGTATGTCTCTGTGTGTAATGGCAAAAGGAGAGAGTTACCGGCACAGAGATCTTTTTAAGAGAAAAAGAGGGAGTTTTTTTATTATCCTCTCAGTCTCCTGAGAATTTATGAGAAACATTATTCTGAGGCGTCCCAGGAAATGTAATTTAATTTAATCTATACAAGGCGGCGGCAGCTTGATCCACTTCTGTCTGTTTATTCTTTATGGTCCACCTTGGACTATTGATGTCTGGCTCATCATACTGTCATCATTTATTGTCTTTGAAAGATAAATGTCAACAAAACAACAAAGTTATAAATATTCTGCCAGTGTTATTGTGACAGACCATTTCTATAGCTGCTGAACATGTAAAATGTAGTTTATCATTTCCTCTAAGCCAGTCAAATATCAATTTTGTATATATTACTTTTCTCCAGTTCTCCATTTACTTATACCTTAGACATGTCAAATAGGATTGAGTTGGAGCATGTTGCCACAATAAATGTGCACACAGCCTTATATATTAACATCGTGTCCCATAATACATATATAAAATGCTGACTTTCGAAATAACCTCTGGTGTGGTCATCATAGTTTGAGATTCTGCTGAATGTTGTGTAAATGTGTGTGCACACAATTATGTGTGTACGTCAGGCCTATTATGAGTCAGAGCAGCTGAGTCAACTGAGCTTTTAATAGTTAATCGCTGCATTCTTACTTTGTGTGTGTTTGTGTATATGTGTGTACTTAGTCTTCAGCACTGCTTTAAAGAACACTCAGGTGCTTCTTTGATCATAAGGAAGAGGTGTGTCCCAGATCTGAATCTTCCCTGGGCTCCTGGTTGATGAATGGTGTAGTTGTGAAAAAATAGATGGGGGGTGATAAAGTATGGGGCCTGTCCTGTGGACTAAATGTCCTCTGTTAGGTCTGTCAAGGGCTAATGTACCCGCACACATACCTAGAATTAGAGCTGGCATTTGTAGGCAGTCACGCATTTACATCACAGAGCGTGTGTAGCTGTACAGTGTTGTTTTATTTAAATGTTGATCCACAGTCCAAATAACTTGTTCCTGCTTCTCCTCCAGGGTGAATACGAGCGTCCTGCACGTGCCGGCAGTCCCCAGGTTACGGGTGGTGACACGTACCCCAGAGGGCCCCTAAAACAACCTCAGAGCCACATGAAGCCGCCTGGCTACCCTCCAGCACACCTGCCATATCCTCCTGTCTTTCACCATTACAAACCTTCACCCTACCATCACCCCCCCTCCCAGCCCAGCCCACCATACACCCCTCAGGTACAGTATGTTCACGATGCTCACTCATACAGACAATTACACACATTTATAGAGATTTAGGCCAGATGTCATTTTAATTATTGTGATATATTATTTCATTTGAATGGGAGAAGTACATAATAATATAAAAAGTATAAAAAAAGAGTATTGACACTATCCAGTGAAAACCATGTGTCTTCAGATGTGGGCTCTTTGAAAGATGAACCTTAATATTACAGAAGGTTTTGAAAATGACTCTGCTTCTTAAACCATATAAAGAGTTAAATGTTAAATGTTCATTGTAGGAAAAGCTGAACACAAACCGGAAAACTCAGAATAACACATGTTATGTTGTTTTGGAATTCACTGACTGCACCAATACAAGTCAAGATTTGTTGTAGTGTTTGTACTATAGTCAGCCCAAAAATACAGTACGAACATTTCACAAATCTGGCTTTATACATTTTCTGTATAAAAATATAAATACTATTTTATAGCCACTCTCTGTTTCTCTTTGACTCTAGTTTCCTGTGTGTGTCTTAACACAGGGTGCGTACTCACAGCCTTCATCACCCTACATCCCCCCGGGGGCCTACCCGCCTCCTTCCTGGGGGTCCAGCTCCGACACACAGCCCTCCAGAGTCTCCCATGAGCAGTTCAGGGCTGCTCTTCAGCTGGTGGTCAACCCAGGTCAGAAACGGACAGTAAATAAGTGACACTGAAATGCCATTCAGAAACATTCCTTCTTTATTCCTGCTGTTGCATTGCATTCATGTTGAGTATGCCTTTGCCCACAGGTGACCCTCGGGAATACCTGGACAGCTTTATCAAAATCGGAGAGGGCTCCACGGGTATTGTGTGCATAGCCAGCGAGAAACACAGCGGCAAGCAGGTGGCTGTGAAGAAGATGGACCTCAGGAAACAGCAGAGGAGAGAGCTGCTCTTTAATGAGGTGTGAAACACTGACCGAGATGGGGCGTAACTGCAGAACACTTATCTCGTGCATGCTCAAACCTAAAAATAGTACATTTAACATTAGCACTTACTACTGGGTGTTATTACTGTACCACATTGAATGTAGGTTTGCTTTTTAATGTGTATTCATTTTGCAGCTTGATGTTGGATGTTATTCTGCAACTGTAGGTCACAACTAAACTGTGACATCCACATACCGTGTGAAATCAAAGCGAACATTTTTTATTGCTGATAGCTCAAACAAACAGAAACACATATACAACTGCTTAATTATATTCATTAAACATAAATGTGTTCCTTATTGACAAAACATACACATATCACTATTCTACAGCAAAAAATAGCTTTTAACATTTATTTCTTACAACATAAGATCCATAGTAATCTAGCCACCTGCACATTACAACATCTGTAATTGAAATAATTTGCTCAGAAAAAAAAGAAAGAGAAAACCTTGACTAGGAAATTATTCATAGCTGTTCATGCTATGTAAACTGTAGGACAATTAGCTCCAAAAAATCCTTAGCTCACTTGCGCTCGCACCGAAAATATTTGACATTCATTTAATTATTGCTTTTTTTGCGGATAAATGCACACTCGGACCTTGGACTTCCTTTATAACGCATTATTGCACCAATCCTGTGTGTGTGTGTGTGTGTGTGTGTGTGTGTGTGTGTGTGTTAGCATGTACAGTGAACACACACGTGAGCAGTGGGTGTTCAGTTGGGGACTAATTTGCTTTTTGTAATCCTATTTATATTCTGAATGTAATCCTTTTATAGTTAAGCTCCCTGAACATGTTCACATTGGATTAATACGAGTAAAATTAATAAATAATTAAATTTACATGACTACATTTTATAAATGTTTTGAAATAGTATGTGGTGTCTTTGTCACATATTGGATTTAGATACAAATAATATTAATTGTGTAACATGAATATAGTATATTTAAACATTTATTTATATAATTTACAGGCCAAGGATGGTGATAGCTCTGCATATTGTGAAATTCTAATAACAACACTTCATGTCAATAGAAATTGAGCAAGAACATTTTTATTTTCCTTCTCTTTCAATGTTTTATATTTCTGTTTCTGCATTTTAGGTTGTGATCATGAGGGACTACCATCACGAGAACGTGGTGGACATGTACAACAGCTACCTGGTGGGGGACGAGCTGTGGGTCGTCATGGAGTTCCTCGAGGGAGGGGCACTCACTGACATTGTGACTCACACCAGGTAACCCTTTCTCTGATAACAATAACAGAAGTTAAAGAGTTTCAGACAAGGAGACAGCGGGCAGTTCAACACAACTCCAACCAGAACCAATCAAAATACATTTTACAAAGGATAAGGATTTTGTTTACTAAAACTTAAAACATCCAAATGAACACTATGATATCTGAGGGTTTCATGGTGCATTGTCACATATTGTATGGCATTAAAAGTTGTTTAATTTAATTTAATTAATCATTTTTTGTGCAGATTAAATAAACGGGATATATCATGTTAATAAAGGAGCTTCAGAGGTGCTCATCGTGTTAGCTTCTGTTAGCTTGGCACAAAGCTAGGCTAACTTGCTGCTCGCTTTTCAACCAAGAGCAGTATCGATCTTCTCATCTAACTCGGCAAGAAACTATTCCTTTAAATACCTAAGAGCTATGCTTTGGGCAGACGGTTTTCAGTGGGAAAGAGTGATAAAAGCTTTAGAATGAAAATAAACTGCTATGATATATTTATGTTGCCAAGAAACAAGGCCACAGCCTTATATGTTTTGTGTGTGTAAGTGTCATCTGTGTTGAATGACGTGGCCTTGAGTGTGTATTTAAATGCTGAGATGGACAGAGCAATCTTATACGGCATGTCACTTATCACTCTATTTTTAGTCACACTGTATACAGTAGATAGATATTTAATTGTTGACACTATCCAATGTTAACTTGTGTTTATGAAGTGTTTTTCATTGTTAGTTGTATATCTGCCAAGAGACAGTAATGAGATGCAGAGATGCTAATGAGCTAATAGCTAAATCTGGCATAAATCATCCCCTCTCTTTTTGAGATTAATGTTTTTTATGTATTGGTCCTTGTTAAACAAAGACAAATACATAAAAACATTTAAAATGTATGAACAATGTAATGTTCTGGGGCCTCATTTATAACACCGTGCGTAGGATTCACGTGGGAAGGTTGCTTACGTAGAAGAAATCCAAAAAAATAGGTACAGACATTTTCAAATTCACCAAACATTGCGTAAGGTTTCCCTTTATAAATCACAATCGACTCGAAATGCGGTGCAGCTTTTCACGTAACGCCCATATTTGCCTATAAATAGTCAAAGAAACGCCCATTAATTCATTTTGACTGACTTTATGAAGAAGATCGCAGGAAATGACGACAGAACAGCTAAAAAAGACATCTCACACCGTGTCAGATTTTTGATATTTTGGGGAGGTCGAGATAAATCATATTGTTTGGTGGATGCCGTTTGAACCAGAGTAGCAGCATGGAGGTCGGATCGTCACCAAAATAAATAAATAAGTGGTCCGAAAAAGGTTCATGACAAAATAAATACACATAGCCTTCCTCAGGCAGTGTGTTTGTACCGGGGACAGGAGACCCCCCCTTGATGAGAGACTGTAAGAAATGATCGGGGAATCCCTCCGGAGTGGAGTCATGACGACTGGATCTGAATTATGTTTTTGTATTTGGTGGTTTGTGTCCCAGCTGTCGATCAGCTGTGCGCAGCGTCTCCACTGCAGCCTGTGCGTCTCACCCCCCCCCCGCAGCAACTCTATATCCACCAGTTAAAGGAAATACAACTAATGTGTTGTGTTATATCAGCTGTACAATTTACCACATATAGTGTTCTTAGCTTCCATACCTCCTGTGTTTTAAGAGCGACTTATCAAGTCTTGGCAAACGGCATAAAACACGATTAAACATGATAGTATATAAAACCATGCTCGGATCTACAACCTATAGAAATGCAACACGGCGTCAGTTTAAAGTAATGCTGTCCTCCTGCTTACCGCATCATTTATGAGAAAACATTTCATAACATTAACACAACATATTCGAGGTGGTTTTCAATAACATATCCGTATTTATTTATTTCTCCAAGTTATGTTTTTGTGTGCACTGAGGAGTCGCAAACAAGCGTTTGTTTAATCATTTTAAGATTGGCTTTAATCAATGTTTGAAAATGAATTCTTCATATATGATAAATGAGAGGTAACATTTTGTTTATGGTATTATTTCCACATATTTCTCTCCATTCTTCCTTCCGCCAACGGTGTCGCAGTTTCTCGTCTCTCCCGTTTTTGTGCTTAGTGCGTACGCATGGGTTAGAGTTTGCATGAGGACCGCACGTTTTCCCGTCAAGTTAGTATTTTATAAATCGCAAACATTGCGTAGAAACTGGCGTACGCCATCTTTTGAGCGTATACCTTTATAACTGAGGCCCCTGGTGTTGTTGGCAATATTAGATTGGCTTTAAAGCAAGCTAGCAAGCAAAAACAGTTTTGTTAAAAATCTTGTTCCTACATTTTTTTCTAAACATAAGAAACTTCATAAAGATGAATTGTACACAGGGAACAAGCAGCTGGGCTGTAATCCAGTCGTGCGTCTGATAGTTTTAGCATTATTGTTCTCCAACTTTTCCGTAATTGCCTCTCTGTGTTTGAGTCGTGTTTCTGAGCCGCCGCCGCCGCCTCATTGTTTTAAGCTTACTTTGTGTTTAATTACAGTCATTTGTGTGGGGTGTCAGCATTAGCGCTTTGCAGTGTCGGATGCTAATAACACGCTTTGGTGAGGCTGAGCACCGCTGCTACCGTGAAGTATTTTGTACAGTCTCCCACACAGATGTTAGCCTTCTTTTGTGTTCAGTATGTGTGTAACAGAGAGTTTTAGTATACACATGAGCGCTCTTAGAAGTACTAATGCTAATCTCAGTAAAGAGGATATTATTGGGCACACATGTTCTATCTTTAACTCTGCCATTTTTATTTCAATTAACTAATTAATTAAAGGGGCCTATTATGCTAATTTTCAGGTTCTTATTTGTATTTTATGCCTATACAGGGACATGTTTTCATGTCTTAATGTTCAAAAAGCTCTTTATTTTTCTCATACTGCCTGTGCTGCAGAGCCTCTTTTCACCCTCTGTCTGAAACCAGAGCCCAGTCTGCACGCACAATGTGTTGGAGCACTAGCCAATAGAAGGGCGAGTGCGAGGGGAGTGTGTGGGAAAGAAACTTATAACACACACACTACAGGAATGTAAAACCCGAAACAGCATAATAGGGTCCCTTTAAATATTCCAATTGATATTCTTGCAGGTATTATCAATCAGAACAAATACAAAAAAAGGAAGAAAAAACTCTAGTTGCTACATGTCCTATCTAAAAACCTACATATGTATCTGAAATCTATAATTGAAACAAACCACTCCATTGAATTATCATGCATTATACTGTATATCCAAGATGGTAATAGAAGGAAGATTATTATACAGTGTATTTTTCCTCTGTAATTACAGCCATAGTTGTCCAGGTGAAAGCTTTGTGCTATTTCTGTTAAGCCTTTTGTTGTGGAAATAACTGCTGCCTGCTTCGCATCGTGCAAGCCTCATCAGCTCTCTGGGTTATTGGCAGCGGACACACACCGAGACACATGAACACACACACCGAGATACATGAACACACACACACCGAGATACATGAACACACACACCGAGATACATGAACACACACACCGAGATACATGAACACACACACACCGAGATACATGAACACACACACCGAGATACATGAACACACACACACCGAGATACATGAACACACACACCGAGATACATGAACACACACACCGAGATACATGAACACACACACCTTGATACATGAACACACACACCGAGATACATGAACACACACACCGAGATACATGAACACACACACCGAGACACATGAACACACACACAGCGAGATACATGAACACACACACCGAGATACATGAACACACACACACCGAGATACATGAACACACACACCGAGATACATGAACACACACACACCGAGATACATGAACACACACATGCAGGCACGTCAGCAGTGGCAGAATGGACGTCTGTCTTACTGAACAATTTCAATCACGTTCATATTTCAATTATTATTTTAGAGTTTGTTAATGAGCTGCACTTCACTGGGATTTCACCCGATATAAGTGCAAAAGCAAACGTGTGTATGGCACGATGCCTGTGCGTTTGTGTGTGCATAGGTGCGTGTGTAATTCTCCTCCCCTCAACAACCTTTTCAGGCTCATTAAAACTGTTTCTCACTTTGTGTTTTAAACAATTTTCTGTTTCAGCGATCCTGTTTGCATCTGTGTGCGTGTGTATGCGTGCAGGGGGTGGTTGAAAGAGGTGAATTAGTTTTTGCGTATACGTCTCCATCCCATTCACTTTGAGTTAGCCAGTTGTTTTTCCATTAGCAGCAGGCTCATTTATCTCTTGTGATTGTAAATGCATACATGTGTGACAGTAAAATCTGCTGCAATCTGCACGGTGATGTGTGTGTGTGTGTGTGTGTGTGTGTGTGTGTGTGTGTGTGTGTGTGTGTGTGTGTGTGTGTGTGTGTGTGTGTGTGTGTGTGTGTGTGTGTGTGTGTGTGTGTGGCCTAGCATTACTATACTTGTGGGGACCTAAATCTGTTTACACAGTCACGTGTGGGGACTGGTTTCCCTGGCTCATTTTCGGGTGAAGACTTGGTTAGGTTTAGGATTAGGGTAAGGTTAAGGCTTAGGGTAAGGCATGTGTTGGTTATGGTTAAGGTTAGGATAAGTCTCCAGGAAATGCATGTAAGTCAATGTAATGTCCCCTGAAGTGATGTATACATGGTGTGTGTGTGTGGCCTGGGGGTTGTTTCCAATAATGCAAGTTTATAAGTGACTACTCAAAATGTGGCATCTTTTAGACTGAGCATTGACAGGAAAAGAGAAATGTGTGTGAGTGTTAAGAAAGTTCAAGGTGTGTGTGTGGGGTCTACATACGTATGAAAATGCACTACGAATATGTTATATGTTATGCCTGCAAATGAGCGTGCCTCTATTTCTGTACATGTATGTGACGGCAGCTCGGTGCAAACACACTCATAAACACGCGGCATGGCCTGGCCAGCTGGGTCTGGATGTTAATGTGCAGTTGAGCTGTGAGTGTGTGTGTGTGAGTGTGTGTGTGAGCTC